GCAGCTTTGGAGACGGCAGCTGAAGCCTCAGTGGAAGGAGCTGGGAAATGTCTCCGAGTTGGCAGCGGTGTGTTGCTGCATTCAAGAGCAGGAGATCCGAAATGAACTAAAATCAAAAAGAAAGCAAGCTCAAAACCTCACCGTCCCTCCTCCCTTACTACTTTTATGGTTTTATCTTTAATTATTGTACTTTTGTGACTTTGCTCTTTGAAAGTCTGGTGCTATACTAGATAAAAGTTACTCTCTTACTCAGCATGAGGTCCCAGAGCGGGAGGCTGTTACAAAAAAAAGGCTGCAGACCAAAAGTTTGACTCATCAGAGCAACTTTTGACGCAGCCCTGTCTTGTTAAACTGAACCCTGTCACAGGATGCGTCATCACACCCCCCTGATACCTTCACACCAGCTTCCACCGGGGGTCACGCATCCACATATAGACGCTGCAATAAAGCTTTGAAGTTGCTCAAAATAGTCCAGAGCAGCCCCGCATACAAATTTCTGGAAAACCCACTCACTATGAGTTCTGTGGCACAGCCTGGAGATTAAAGAAAAAGCCACTAAACGTAATAAACCCAGAAACATCGGCGACAAAGAGAATCAAGGAACATTTAATTTAGGAGCTGTTATGTCATCTCTTGGACGAGGGAATAAAAAAATAAAAAAAAAACGGCAGGAAAAAGAAAGAGGAGATGGTATTTCCATCCTCTAAATCAAACCGGCAGACAAGATGGAGAGTTTAGCGTGACATGAATGCGTAAAAATGTCAACAAAGGCAATTAAGTGGAGGAGGAGAGGAGAAGCTTCTCCACGAGACAACAGTGATATTTTACACCAGCAGAAGACAGGGTCACACACTCGGGGTCTGCTCTGCAAGACATTCATTACCACAGAAAATATACTGCCTGCACACAAATTTCACTTGCTCATATCCAGCTTTAGATATGCTACATACAAAATATAAGTACATGCTCATATTTTAGTGGTAGAGGAGCCATTAGTCATTAAGGTTTCTGTTAACACTGAATTTTACTCATTAAATATGCCAAAATATTGAATAACTCCTCTGGTTGCGCAGGCCAACCCTCTTTCTGCGGTGAGAGCCCATTTATGAGGATTAAAAAAGCAAACAACTCCGCACATAGATAACAAATCCTCAAACAAGTAATTAAAGTTAGCTCATGACTATAATCATGTTTCCAAATTGCTTTGCGATCACAACAAAGGGCGATTTTTCAAATGCAAAATACAATGTGAACTTCCCTCTGTGACGGACACAGCAGCGTCGGGCAGCACTTTGTTATTGTCACAGTCCATTTGGACTGAATACGTGTGTTATATTTTCACATAGCGAAATAAAAAAGTACGTATGAATACATTTGTTTTGTATTGTACACAAAGAATCTCCATCGGGAAAAAACTGTTATTCACTTTCACTGCATTAGTGAGCTACGGCTAATTATGCTCGGCCTCTAGAACAACGACAGCAGGGTTAATATCAGAATCCACATGCACCTTAATCTGAACAGCAGGAAACATCACGGGCCCACAGCTGGAAGTGTGGACACTTTTCAATTAGCCAAGTGAGGAGATGTTTTCACATATCAATCAGGTCAAGGACTGACAATTAGAGTGTCTACGTGTTTTTAACAGGTTTAAATATTGCAAATAAATTGCTGTAATAGCTGTCACAGTGGGATTTAGTGTCTTTCAGGTATTTCAACTATGTTGCACCAAACTGCATCTTGTGCGTTAGACACTTGACAAATTTTGAGCAAATGAATTATAATGATGTGGTTAGTTTTGGTCTGAATAAACTGACAGCAACCTGCAGTAACTCTGCTTTATTTGTCACAACTGGCAGATGAAGACTGATGAAAAGTGGCATTCTGAAATAAAAAGGTTATTAAAGCAACACTATGTTACTTTTACTGTTATGCAACAGCGCCCTCTGCAGCCACACATAGAAAGTGAATGGTGGATATTACCCATGATCCCCAGCTTCCTGAAGCAGAATATACGCCGATGTAACAAAAACATCAAACTCTGTATCCAAGCTGAATATTTGAGACAAACACTGCTTTTAAATAACTTCAGCATTACTCTTTTACTTGAACTCTATCGTCTCCTGGGAGATTGGACCTGATCAAACTTAAAGCAAGAACAGGGGTTCAAGGTGACGAGTGGGAAATAAAACTGCACCATTCTCCCTGTTCCAGGTCAGTGAACCATCAAAATAGTTTTGAAGCTGCTATTTTAAGTTATAAAAAAGTTATATAGTGTTGCTTTAAGAAACCAAAAATAACACATTTTGAATTAAAAGCTCCTGGGCCTAAATACAAATTGCCCTTCATAACAATGTGTTATTAGTTTTCCCAGATTTCATGATGACATATTTTGTCTGCATTTGTTATACAATCTTATTTCATTATCTCTAATATCTGTATATAACACTGAACTTTCTGTTCAACAACTCTTACTAATGAATTAATTAACGTCAGTGGAGACTGTAATGAAACATGCAACACAGAGGCCCAATCTTTATATTTAAAACAAAATCACTGTAAACAGATAAAAAGTTTCTGTGAAGTGTCTGTATCAGTTCGACAGCAGTGAGACGAACAGAGACACTGTTCCAATTACTACATATTCCAGGCTGCCTGGAACAGGTACCCTGAAGCAAGAACAGCCAGAACTCAGGGGGTGATTACAGTCTGAAGGATGGTGGGAGCGTTCTGTAACACTCGTCTGTCGAGCACATCATTGAATCCCCTCTAACTCCTTTAGTCTTCCCATTTCGACGGTCAATGTCTATTACTGTATTCTCGCACTTGACAATGAGATTGGCAAAATGTCAAGTCGTGTCAAAGTGAGACGATTGTGAACGTTTGTGAACACATCATCGAAAAAGCACTGATTTTAAAACTGGAGCAAAACTAAATAATTTGATGAGAAACCGAGGATACACTGACACAGATGTGTTTTAGAGGAAGCAATGGCAACGCTCACTCAAAAATAGTTGCAGCATTACTGACATTACTTGAAATGGAAAATGCCTTTTATGGATTGTTACCCAGCGTTCCCGACTCGCTATCGTTTCATGCCTCATAATAATGCTCAGCGCTGCACAGAATGTGGGCACCAAAGTTGTTTTCCTTTAAAAACTATGGTGCTGTGGTGGATGACACGCAACTAAATAAACATTTAACAAAAGGCTGTCACTTGTCTGGTCTACATGTCTGAAAATATGTATTGAAGAATGGGAATAAATGGTTCGAATAGATTAATGCCTTGCTCATTACCACACAAACCCAACTCTCCTGATCTGTAATGTCACCAGCAAGTAAACCTCCTATGAATTGCACAGTAATGCGTAGTGAGAGAGAATAATGCCAGAAGGTGACAAGCGATCCTACCTTAAGACTCAGGTTTAATCGCCTCTGTGAAGTTCCCACCCGGCTGATTGTCTCTGGCGGCGTGCCCCGGAGCTCAGGCAGCGTTCTAATGAGTAAAGAAAGAGAAGAGGTGAGATACACGCAGGAAGTCCAAACATTACACACTCAAGTCAAAGAAAATGTTTCCTCTGGGAGTTCTAACTGTATCTGGGGAAATGTGAGTCAGGCAATTTTATGGGAAGAACTGTAGAAACTGAATTTAAGTCATTAAAAGTCAAGGGAATAATAAACAAATTTAATCCACATGTAATCCAGCTCTTAAATGAGCTTAAATCAATGATGCCACATTTATAGTAAAATCAATGTCTACAAAAACAAGTACACACACACACACACACACACACGTACCAATCAAACTTGGACTGCATCTTATTACATTTACAGGATTTATCAATTAAATACATGAATTGTTCTGTCACATTTTGTGTCAGGTGTCACATCTTATATGATGTCATATTGAATGATGTCCATCACACCGTCCTGGAGTCAAGCTGACATCTTCAAATTGCATCTTTTGTTCAAACAACATGAAAACTATCGCCAGGCGAAATACAGCACAGAGGCCTGCAGCTGTTCTTTCATTGACGTGCTGACTGAGAAGTAGAGCAGACACTTGGTTCTGTTGATGTTTGATTGTCTTTTCAAGTGTTTTGGAGATTACATAACAATAAGTCATTTTAATGAATTATTAAAAGTCTCCAATAAAACAATATATATACATGTTTTATGATATTGAAATTAAAATGAAAAAACTGGGTTTAACCTAAGCCACACTGCATTTAAATTTGAGAATACACATTTAAAGTGTCTAAATGACAAGAAGA